CCCGGGAGGGAGTGCGAGCTCGAGATCGCACTGGCCACTCTAGCCTGGGCGACAGAGCGAGACTCCGTCTCAAAAAAAAAAAAAAAAAAAAAAAAAAAGTTATTTACAAAAAGTTTATTCGGCAGGCGCAGTGGCTCATGACTGTAATCCAGGCCTAGGTGGGTGGATTGCCTGAGGTCATGAGTTCAACATGGTAAAACCCTGTCTCTACTAAAAATACAAAATTAGCTGGGCATGGTGATGCGCCCCTGTAATCCCAGCTACTCAGAGGGCTGAGGCAGGAGAATCACTTGAACCCAGGAGCGAGAGGTTGCAGTGAGACCGATATCGGGCCGGCTTGAACCCGGGAGGCAGAGACTGCAGTGAGCTCAGATCGTGCCACTGCACTCCAACCTAGGTGACAGAGTAACTCTGTCTCAAAAAAGAAAAGAAAAAAGAAAAAAACTGGTAGGAAATACTGTTTGGAAGTAGAATTGTTGAACCACCTCTGTGAACAGTGTACTCTCTGTACTTGTTCATTCGGTTGAGGGAGGTGGGCGGGATGAAATTTCCTGATTGGGACATTGTACTACAGCTATGCAACATGTTACCACTGAGAGAAAATGGCTGTGTTATTTCCTACATGTGAATCTGCAATGACCTCAAAATACATTTTTGTTAAAAAGTACACCACTATGAAACCCCGTCTCTACTAAAAAATACAAAAAACTAGCCGGGCGCGATGGCGGGCGCCTGTAGTCCCAGCTACTCGGGAGGCTGAGGCAGGAGAATGGCGTGAATCCGGGAGGCGGAGCTTGCAGTGAGCTGAGATCTGGCCACTGCACTCCAGCCTGGGCGGCAGAGCGAGACTCCGTCTCAAAAAAAAAAAAAAAAAGTACACCACTGGATTCTGCAAGCCTCCCGAGCACGTCGGTAGCCAGCTCCCCTCACTGAATCACCGAGTTCTCTCCCCAGCTGTATTTCCAAAATGTCGCTTTCTAACAAGCTGACCCTGGACAAGCTGGACGTGAAAGGGAAGCCAGTCATTATAAGAGTCGACTTCAATGTTCCTACGAAGAACAACCAGATAACAAACAACCAGAGGATTAAGGCTGCTGCCCCAAGCATCAAATTCTGCTTGGACAATGGATCCAAGTCAGTAGTTCTTATGAGACACCTAGGCCGGCCTGATGGTGTCCCTATGCCTGACAAGTACTCCTTAGAGCCAGTTGCTGTAGAACTCAAATCTCTGCTGGGCAAAGATGTTCTGTTCTTGAAGGACTGTGTAGGCCCAGAAGTGGAGAAAACCTGTACCAACCCAGCTGCTGGGTCTGTCATCCTGCAGGAGAACCTCCGCTTTCAGGTAGAGGAAGAGGGAAAGGAAAAGATGCTTCTGGAAACAAGGCTAAAGCCGAGCCAGCCAAATTAGCAGCTTTCCAAGCTTCACTTCCCAAGTTAGGGGATGTCTATGTCAGTGATGCTTTTGGCACTGCTCACAGAGCCCACAGCTCCATGGCAGAAGTCAATCTGCCACAGAAGGCTGGTGGTATTTTTGTTTTTTGGTTTTGGTTTTGGTTTTGTTTTTTTTGATGAAGAAGGAGCTGAACTACTTTGCCAAGGACTTGGAGAGCCCAGAGCGACACTTCCTGGCCATCCTGGGCAGAGCTAAAGTTGCAGACAAGATCCAGCTGATCAAGAATATACTGGACAAAGTCAATGAGATGATTATTGGTGGTGGAATGGCTTTTACCTTCCTTAAGGTGCTCAACAACATGGAGATTGGCACTTCTCTGTTTGATGAAGAGGGAGCCAAGATTGTCAAAGACCTAATGTCTAAAGCTGAGAAGAATGGTGTGAAGATTATCTTGCCTGTTGACTTTGTCGCTGCTGGCAAGTTTGATGAGAATGCCAAGACTGGCCAAGCCACTGTGGCTTCTGGCATATCTGCTGGCAGGATGGGCTTGGACTGTGGTCCTGAAAGCAGCAAGAAGTATGCTGAGGCTGTCACTCGGGCTAAGCAGATTGTGTGGAATGGTCCTGTGGGGGTTTTTGGGGTTTGGGGGGTTTGTTTGTTTATTTTGAGATGGAGTCTCACTATGTCACCCGGGCTGGAGTGCAATGGTGTGGTCTTGGCTCACTGCAACCTCTGCCTCCCTGATTCAAGTGATTCTCCCGCCTCAGCCTCCTGAGTAGCTGGGACTACTGGCTCGTGCCACCACACCCGGCTAATTTTTGTATTTTTAGTAGAGACTGGGGTTTCACCATGTTGGCCAGGCTGGTTTCGAACTCCTGACCTCGCGATCCGCCCACCTCAGCCTCCCAAAGTGTGGGATTACAGGCGTGAGCCACCGTGGCCGGCCTGGAATTTCATCTTGTTTCCATGCTAAGTAGTAAAACGGTGACAAAGCTAATCAGAATAAGCTACATCAAAAGAGAATTAAGCTAACACAGCTCACTTTTTTTAACAGGCAAAATATAAATATATGCGCTCTAGAATGCACAGTGGTTTAGTCACTAAGAAATTCAAACGGGATCTTGAAGAATGTAGGCAAATCCAGGGTGCAGTAAAGATGAGCTGAGATGCCGTGTCACTGTTTAAGGGCTCGTGGCACTGCATCTCTCGACCACTAGCTGAATCTTGACATGGAAGCTTTTAGCTAATGCCAAGTGGAGATGCAGAAAATGCTAAGTTGACTTAGGGGCTGTGCACAGGAACTAAAAGGCAGGAAAGTACTAAATATTGCCGAGAGCGTCCATTCCCAGGATGGACTTTACCTTGTAGGAGCTCTAAACTGGCACCACCCCCAGTGCTCACATGGCTGACTTTATCCTCCGTGTTCCATTTTGCACAGCAAGTGGCAGTGTCTCCATCACCTATGATGGTAATGCAGCCCCTAGAAGTTGCTTTCACCACCTCATCCATGAGGGCTTTGGTCTCCCAAAGTGCTTGGATTACAGGTGGGCGAATCACTTGAGATCAGGAGTTCGAGACCAGTCTGGCCAAAATGGTGAAACTCCATCTCTACTAAAAATACAAAAATTAGCCGGGCGTGGTGGTGGGCACCTGTAATCCCAGCTACTTTGGAAGCTGAGGCAGGAGAATCACTTGAACCCAGGAGGCAGAGGTTGCAGTGAGCCAAGATCGTGCCACTGCACTTTATCCTGAGCGACAGGGTGAGACTCCATCTCAAATACTACTACTACTACTAATAAATAATAATAATGAAAAGACACCAGAGACCTCTCTTTCTGTCACCTCCATGCCCTCTCCCCAACTGGAGGACACAACCAGAAAGTAGCCATCTTTGAGCCAGGAAGAAAGCCCTCACCAAGAACAGAATCTACTGTCATTTTGACTTTGGACTTTGTGGTGTCAAGAATCGTATTTTGTTATCGTATTATATTTTGTTATTTTGTAATCGTATGGTATTTTGTTATAGTGGCTCGAGAAGAGTAAAAGACAGAAATGGCAAGAAAGTTAAACCTATCCCACTAGAGGTTTGTCATGCAGGGGACAGAGGGTTGGGTTTAGGCTTGAGCTTTGGAGTTGGAAAGAATTGAGTTCACACCTAGGCTGGGGACCTTGGACAAGTCCCTTGAGTTCTCTGAACCTCAATAGCCCCTTCTGTAAAACGAAGATAATAAAGCTGTTGTGAATGCACCTTGAAACCGCAAGACGGCCGGGCGCGGTGGCTCAAGCCTGTAATCCCAGCACTTTGGGAGGCCGAGACGGGCGGATCACAAGGTCAGGAGATCGAGACCATCCTGGCTAACACGGTGAAACCCCGTCTCTACTGAAAAAATACAAAAAACTAGCCGGGCGAGGTGGCGGGCGCCTGTAGTCCCAGCTACTCGGGAGGCTGAGGCAGGAGAATGGCGTAAACCCAGGAGGCGGAGCTTGCAGTGAGCTGAGATCCAGCCACTGCACTCCAGCCTGGGTGACAGAGCGAGACTCCGTCTCAACAAAAAAAAGAAACTGCAAGACACACGTCTAAGCACCAGGTAGGCACCCAATAAATAGCAGCAGTGCTATTCTTTTTATTGATGTCTTTCTAGTCATTCACGCTAATGACACAGTGGGACAGGCAGAACTGGGTCTTCAAGACTTCAGGCGCCAGGCTGAGGAGCTTGGACTTGCACTTGAGAGCACTAGGGAGCGATGGGAGGTGTGTGAGCAGGGGAGAGACAGAAAAATGTCCCTTTGGTGCTGGGGTGAATGACTAGGAATTCAAGTTTGGGAGACCAAGGAGGACACTTTGACAGGTACCCAGGTGAGTGTCTAGACCTGGGTGGTGGCAATCGGGATGATGAGAGTGAGAAGAAATAAGTAGGCTGGGCTTGGTGGCTCATGCCTGTAATCCCAGCACTTTGGGAGGCCAAGGCAGGCAGATCACGAGGTCAGGAGTTCGAGCCCAGGCTGGCTGACATGATGAAACTCTGTCTCTACTAACAATACAAAAATTAGCCAGGCGTGGTGGGGCGTATCTGTAATCCCAGCTACTCGGGAGGCCGAAGCAGGAGAATTGTTTCAACCCAGGAGGTGGAGGTTGCAGTGAGCCGAGATCATGCTAATGTACTCCAGCCTGGGTAACAAGAGCAAAACTCTGTCTCAAAAAAAGAAAAAAAAAATTACCCAGGCATGGTGGCAGGCGCCTATAATCACTGCTGCCTAGGAGGCTGAGGCAGGAGAATCACGTGAACCCGGGAGGTGGAGGTTGCAGTGAGCCCAGATCACGCCACTGCACTCCAGCCTAGGTGATAGAGTGAGGCTCCGTCTCAAAACAAAAATAATAATAATAATAAATAAATACATATATAAAAAAGTAGTTAAGTAGTTCAGGATGAGTATTGGGTATAGGGCTTGAATGGTAACTCCATGACCCAGGTCGGAAGTAGCAGTTAAGAGGGGTTGGGGTCGGGGTTTCAATGTCAGTTTTCACTTTCAGTTTTTTCATTGTGTCTTTCTGAAATATTCTTACTGGTCCTTGGAGACACTGCCCAAAGATCCCTCCTCTGAAAATCGCCCTGGAACACGTGTGGTTTGCAATTTCCTGCAAAGCCGCTGCTCATGATGTTATCCTACAAACATCCAAATCCCGGCATATGAGTTTCTCCAGGGCAGTCTCTGACTGGTTCCATTGTAGGATCTGTCCATGCCCTGCATACGCCTGGTACCAAAAAAGGAAACTGGGTCTGCAGGACGTTGCTGCAGTTCAGGCGTTGGCCGTGTGGGAGCAGAAGTGCAAAGTCAAAGCGTCTGGAAAAAGCGCTCAGGTTGTGGGACCAGCAGAGCATCACCGAGGACGTCCCTGGTCGAGAACTATGTCTTTTTATCCATTTTAAAGGGGTGTGAGGCACTAGGATCCAGTTTTGTCCACCTAACCCACCTAACCCACCCACCCAGCAACCCACACCCTGCAGCCCGTAGTTGGAGGATAATTACGCAAAACCTAAATCAGATCAGTCTCAGAACCTCTTTTTTTTTTGAGATGGAGTCTCGCTCTGCTGCCCAGGCTGAAGTGCAGTGGGGCAATCTTAGCTCACTGCAAGCTTCACTTCCCAGGTTCAAGTGATACTTCTGCCTCAGCCTCCTAAGTAGCTGGGATTACAGGTGTGAGCCACCACGCCCAGCCTTCTTTGTCACTTTTTTTTTTTTGAGACCAAGTCTTACTCTGTCACTCAGGCTGGAGTGCAGTGGAGCCATCTCAGCTCACTGCAACCTCCGCCTCTCAGGTTCAAGAGATTCTACTGCCTCAGCCTCCCCAGTAGCTGGAATTACAGGCGTCCACCACTATGCCTGGCTAATTTTTGTATTTTTAGTAGAGATGGGGTTTCACCATAATGGCCAGGCTGGTCTCAGACTCCTCACCTGAGGTGATCTGTTCGCCTTGGCCTCCCAAAGTGGTGAGATTACAAGCATGAGCCACCGCCACCACGCCTGGCTCTTTCTCATTTTCAAATGACTGCTCTTTCAGGAATGACCACCAATGGGGCCCCAACATGCACAACATAAAATCTCACCACCAGCCCCCACCACCAGACCTACAGGACAAGGCCAACACCTAGCATCAGTCCCAGCTTCATTCTACATAGAAAAGCAAACTGAAAACTTCTAGCCCCAGACCATTTTAAGGAGGACCCAAATCCGATACTCCTGCTCCTAAATGCCAAAGACATAGAAACTGGGCCAAGTACGGTGACTCAAGCCTGTAATCCCAGCACTTTGGGAGGCTGAGACGGGCGGATCACGAGGTCAGGAGATCGAGACCATCCTGGCTAACACGGTGAGACCCCGTCTCTGCTAAAAAATACAAAAAACTAGCCAGGCGAGGTGGCGGGCGCCTGTAGTCCCAGCACTCGGGAGGCTGAGGCAGGAGAATGGCATAAACCTGGGAGGCGGAGCTTGCCGTGAGCTGAGATCCAGCCACTGCACTCCAGCCTGGGCAACAGAGCAAGACTCCGTCTCAAAAAAAAAAAAAGACATAGAAACTGCCATCTTTGGTTGGCTAAACCTGGAACAGAAGTTTGTTCGGCCTCAACAATGGAACACAGAGCAGCAATTAGCAGCAGCTCAAAGGAGCATGCTGGCCACCAGATAGCAGAGCAGGTTAGCACCTGAGAGAAAGGGAAGGCTGAAACATTGCGTGGTGACCAACATCTAGACATCCTGCTGACAGTGCCAGCTGTTATGGTTGCCTGAAAAGGTGTGCTTTGGATGTTGACACTGATGGCTATGTGGTGCACATATACACCGAGAATATGAAAAGGCTTATTACAAAAATGAGGTCTCAGGGAGAACAATGCAGGGCTCTCGAGCAAATGTGACATGGTGTGAGAGCAAGGAAGATGGCATTCCTGTCCCTTATGAGTACTGATGCAAAAATCTTGAAATAAATGTCAGCGAAGCATATAAAGCAATATATTCAAAGCATTATGCAAGATAACCAAGTGAGATTTATCCCTGGAATGTAAGGATGGTTCACCATATGGAAACTGATCAGTGGAATACACATTAGGAAATGATGGAAAAACGACAGTCTTGATCGATGCAAAAAAGCATCTGACATAATACCCATTTATGATTAAAAACCCACAATAAACTAGGAATAGAATGTACTCAGCTTGCTACAAAGCATATACGAAAAACTCAACAAAATCTTTGATGGTGAAAAACCATATTTTTAATATCTAACATCAGAAACAAGGATGTTTGCTCTCACCAGCTCCATTCAATGTTAAGCGGGGGTGTTCCCAGGGAAATCAGGCAAGAAAATACAAGCATTCCAGCCGGGCCTGGTGGCTCAAGCCTGTAATCCCAGCATTTTGGGAGGCCGAGGTGGGCGGATCACAAGATCAGGAGATTGAGACCATCCTGGCCAACATGGTGAAACCTCATCTCTACTAAAAATAAAAAAACTAGCTGAGTGTGGTGGCACACGCCTGTAATCCCAGCTACTCAGGAGGCTGAAACAGAATTGCTTGAACCTGGGAGGCAGAGATTGCAGTGAGCTGAGATCATGCCACTGCAGTCCAGCTTGGTGACAGAGTGAGACTCCGTCTCAAAAAACTAACCAACAAACAACCCCCCTCCAAAAAAAACCCAGCCAGGTGCAGTGGCTCACACCTGTAATCCCAGCACTTTGGGAGACCGAGGCAGGTGGATCACAAGTTCAGGAGATTGAGACCATCCTGGCCAATATGGTGAAACCCCATCTCTACTAAAAATACAAAAAAATTTAGCTGGGTGTGGTGGCACACACCTAGAGTCCTAGCTACTCGGGAGGCTGAGGCAGGAGAATTGCTTGAACCCGAGAAGTGGAGGTTGCAGTGAGCCGAGATCACACCACTGCACTCCAGCCTGGCAACAGATTCCATCTCAAAAAAGAAAAAAAAAAAAGCATTCCATATTTGAAAATATATATATACACACAGCCCTCTAGACAAATATACAAAAACCACACACTTTGTCACTGTACATACAGGTGGACAAACACAAACTCACAAACCCACAGATGTAACAGCCCAGATACTAAAAGATGCTCCCAGACAGAAGGACCCCAGGTGTTCTGATCTCTTCTCCAGATTTCTCTGGCTCCTCAGGAATAACCACCACAGTGCCATATATATTCTCGCTTGCTTTCTTGTCTTCCAGAATGTCAGGATCAAGGGGACAGAGATATTAGCACAGCTTTGTTAACTATACCTATTAGAGAGTGTTACACAGAGGAAAATATTTACTGAATATTAGGACTCACACAGACACATACACAAATGGATTTTACACAAACGTCATCACAGACCCACATATACTTGTCCTTCAAAAAGTGAATGTTCTCACTCCCATTCCACGTAGCAGAGATACCCCTTAGCTCCCCAACACCTATCACAAAAGATGGCTCCTTGAGCCCATTCTGACAGTGAAGGAATCTCAAACTTTCTGACCTCCCACAGTACAATAATCATGTCTCTACAAAAGCAGAACATGGCAGCCCAAGAATGCGAAAATAAGGGCCTGAAATGGGTTGAGTAATAATGTTCCAACCCCTCAAACTACCATCAATGTTCTTGGTGAGAGAAGCAAAGGTGTGTATCTCCTGGTTCAGCCACCGGGTCCTCCACTGCATCTCCACAGTAGCCATCACTTCCACTGAGGCCTCAGCTGCCAGCAAACCTTGCTCCAGTCAGCCTCTGGACCCTAGTATCTTCACCATGGTGTTGGATGCTGCCCCCTGACCCATCCCTGCTGTTGGAGGAGGGTGGAGGCCAGAGGCCTAGAGAGTTCCGACTACAGGTCTCCAAGCGACAGAAAGATCACTTCTGGGACCCAGGGAGACTGTAAGTTGTTGTGAGGGTAGACGGTGACCTGGTTTCCCTCAATGCTGCCACCTCCCTTCTAGAACACACTGACTTGCTCTCTAAGAAAAGGGTGGACTGACCCCAACAAAGGACAGACCCGACACCTATCATGCCTGTGCAATTCAGAAAAGGGAGAATTCGGTGGCTCCAGCAAGCAGTTTATTGGGAGTTGAGTTCACCTTGCCATATGATGTGAAGCAAGGTAGTTCCATGGCTTGTGAACCCTGACGCCAGCGCCTCCCATACACAATAGAGCTGGAGCTCTGCAGCGTGCGTCCTTTTCCAAAAACAGCCAGGTGCTACTCTTAGTGGGAGGCTAGGAAACCAGTCCTGGAGCAGGATGCACGTGACATGCACTGACGTGATAAGGCCGGAGCACCATCCGTGCATATGCTGCGGAATATCTCAGGATAGAACGTGCCAGAAAATGGGGAAAGCAAGTTAGGGGAGGTAAGCATTTTGAGTGTCCTACAGCTAAGACATGGCAGAGTGTGTCTCTGTGACTCCACTAGCAGTTTTGAGATTATTCTGACTGTGGTGGTTGGTACAGGGCTGGTAACTGCAGGAGAGTGCATGCTGTGTGGTCAAGGGGCACGTGTCCCATGACACAGGTTCTGCTTCTTCAGCCCTCTCACCTCAGAGCCACCTGGGGTTGCCACAGAGAAATTTACATGTGAATTTCTAAACATGTTTCCCAGTAAGTATCCAAAGTGTAGGTTTGAGATGGGAAATGGAGCTGGAGATGACCTCAAAACAGCCCTGGAATAATGCGATGCTGACAATGTCTGTGAATTAGGATGTCCATAGGCATATCCCACTTGAGGAGAACTGTAAGGTTAGAAGCACAGCACTCCTACAGTCTGACCCGAGGACACTGATGGAAACTTAAAGGCAGATTCTGGGAGTCTTCTCACTTCTATCCAGTCATGTGTGTGAGCTGAGGGCAGCCACTGCCCTAGACGGTGTTTCCTAACTTCTGACTGGATGCCACAAAAGACCTGCTGGGACCCAAGTCCTTCTTCCCCATTCCTTTAATTCTTCCTAAGAAGAATCTCGACAATGGCTGCACGTGTAATTGAAGATGTTCCCTTATTGCTTACATTAAAGAAGGCTGCTCTGCAGCGTGGGTGGTTTCATGGTTTTAAAATGAACTGGGGGCCAGGTGCGGTGGCTCATGCCTGTAATCCCAGCACTTTGGGAGGCCAAGGTGGGTGGATTACCTGAGGTCAGGAGTTCAAGACCAGCCTGGCCAACATGGTAAAATCCCATCTCTACTAAAAATATAAAAATTCGTTGGGCGTGGTGGCATGTGCCTGTAATCCCAGCTACTGGGGGAGGTCTGAGGCAGGAAGAGTGTTTTGACTTGGGAGGCAGAGGTTGCAGTGAGCTGAAATCATGCCACTGCACTCCAGCCTGGGCAACAGAGTGAGACTCCATCTCAAAAGAAAAAAAAAAAAAAAATGAACTGGGGCTGGGCGTGGTGGCTC